AATAGATAATAAAAGCAAATGAATTTATTAGGTATTAGCTAACATTAATGTAACTTTTCATGGAAGCTACTTGTTCTTATCGAAATTCAAGACAAATTGAAAAAAAATTGCTTCATTTTTAACAAGTAATTAGAAAATTAATGATGATTTAATCTATTCTAAGATCAATCATGCTACAAGTACACTAACTTTGATATCAAGTTTGACATTGTACCACGTTGCGACATCACATTGGGCAGTTTTTAAAAAAAACACACTTTCCCGGCAAACACAATTTGAATTTACACATGGTGTCAAACTTGATGTCAAGAAAACAATGTACAGTAGGTTTTATTCTTCTAAGATTGACTAAGAAAAATGTCAGCCTCTGAATTCTGATAATCTTGTTATTGTATAATCAGACATACCTGCCATGTGATACGCCAGAACCACTACGCCTGTATAGGGAAGAAGAGCTCATCAATCTTCGTGGCGATGGGTCGGGCATGCTAAAAGAATGGGACAGAGTCTATGACTATGCATTCTACAATGACTTGGGAAGTCCTGAAAAGGGATCAGGCTATGCACGCCCTGTGCTTGGTGGATCAGAGGAGTACCCGTACCCACGTAGAGGAAGAACAGGTCGTCAACCAAATAAAAAAGGTCCAGAGAAACAAACAAACTTCTAAATTCTAAATCAATAAATATTGAGGTATCATATTAGGCATTTCCTTAAAACTTTTTCTGCAATTGTATTTACAGATCCTATGTCAGAAAGGCGATTGCCTCTCCTAAGTTTAAACATTTATGTTCCACGAGACGAGCGTTTCAACCAAGTGAAGTTCTCAGATTTCATTGCTTATGCTCTTAAATCCCTGGGTCAGGTATTGCTTCCAGAGATAAAATCCATAACTGACAAAACATTTAACGAGTTTGATTCATTCCAAGATGTACTTGACCTGTATGATGGTGGGGTTAAGCTACCTGACGACCACAATCTTACAAAACTTAGGCAATGCGTCTCTTGGGAGTTGCTTAGAGAACTTCTTCGTTCAGATGGTGAGAAATTCCTTAAATTCCCAGTGCCTGATGTTATCAAAGGTAATAACATGACTTCGGATAGAATACAAATTTTACTATTAAATGATGCATTATGAAGTTCATCACAATAATTATGAGGCCTTTTCTGGGATGTTTTCAGAGGATAAGACTGCATGGAGAACCGACATAGAGTTTGGGAGAGAAGTGCTAGCTGGAGTGAATCCTGTTGTTATTCGACGCCTAGAGGTGAAAGAACTGTATTCCTAATTTATCAATCAAATATTTCTTTTTTCTGATGCAAAATGTCCATTAATTTTGTAACAGGAGTTTCCCCCAACTAGTAAGCTAGACCCTGAAAAATATGGCAACCAAAATAGTTCAATGACAAGGGAGCACATGGAGAAAAACATGAATGGGATAAGAATATATGAGGTACCTATCTATTTTCTCTGTTTTACTTGCGTTTTTCTTCAAATCAAGACATGTTTTACACGATTTTAGACAGATTAAGAATCAGGCTAAGATATTGACCTCTTAACTTGTTTTATGCAAGAAAAGACAATTGAGCAGAATAAGCTGTTCATACTAGATCACCACGACGCGCTTATGCCATACATTGAACGGATAAACAAGGATACAAACACAAGGACATATGCTACTCGAACTCTCCTTTTACTACAAGATGATGGGACATTGAAGCCTCTGGCAATTGAATTGAGCTTACCAAATTTCCAGAATAAAGAACAGGGTGCCATTAGTCGAGTATTTACCCCTGCAGAGCATGGAATCGAAGGTTCAATTTGGCAGCTGGCCAAAGCTTATGCTGCTGTAAATGATTCGGGATATCATCAGATGATCAGCCATTGGTACACTTACAAAAGAAAGAAGCTGAACTAATAGTAATGGTAGGAAGTTCTGTACAAATGTAAATAACTACCTTATTTTAAATGCAGGTTGAACACTCATGCAATGATAGAGCCATTTATCATTGCGACGAACAGACAATTGAGCGTGCTTCACCCAATATACAAGCTTCTGCATCCCCATTTCCGTGATACAATGAACATAAATGCTTTGGCACGGCAGATACTCATCAATGCAGGTGGGATACTTGAGACAACAGTCTTCCCGGGAAGATATTCGATGGAAATGTCTTCTTTCATCTATAAGTACTGGAACTTTACTGAGCAGGCACTCCCTGCAGATCTTCTCAAAAGGTCAGCCAGAATGCTTTAAAATCAATTAATTATTGAAGTATCACATCTAAAAGCTTAAGTCAACATTTATGTATTTGGGTTTAATCTTCAGCAACCAGATGTCCATTTTTCTGGGTGTTATTTTTTTGATGACTTTTGCTCCAATGCAGAGGAGTGGCAGTTCCTGATCCAAGCCAGCCCAGTGGCCTCAGACTCCTAATAGAAGATTATCCTTACGCGGTCGATGGGCTTGAAATTTGGTCGGCAATTAAAGATTGGGTTGAAGAGTATTGTTCATTCTATTATCACTCAGATGACATCGTCCAAGGCGATTCGGAACTCCAATCCTGGTGGAAGGAGCTTCTTGAGAAGGGCCATGGCGACTTAAAAGACAAACCATGGTGGCCTAAGATGCAGACAAGAGATGATCTCATGGAAACCTGCACAATCATAATTTGGGTGGCTACCGCTCTTCACGCAGCAGTCAACTTCGGACAATATCCTTATGCAGGCTACCTTCCAAATCGACCAACTCTCAGCCGTCGATTGATGCCTGAACAGGACACTCCTGAGTATGCTGAGCTCGAGTCAAACCCTGATTTGGCGATCCTGAAAACAATTACGGCCCAGTTCCAAACCCTTCTTGGCATTTCTCTAATAGAAATATTATCCAGGCATTCGACAGATGAGATTTATCTAGGACAGACAGACACTCCCGAGTGGACTGCAGATATTATACCAAAACAGGCATTTATGCGGTTTAGTGCGAAACTGGTCAACATTGAACAAAGGATAATATCGAGGAACAACGACAAGAGATTAAAGAATCGAGTCGGGCCTGTAAATGTGCCTTACACCTTGTTATATCCCAATACCTCAGATTACAGTAGAAGGGGAGGACTTACTGGCAAGGGAGTTCCCAACAGCGTTTCAATATGAAATCTTGTGAAGTAAAGGAGTAGAAATTTTTCTTAAATCAGATGTTGTGCCACTTAATCAGAGGATTGATGACTCATTTTAGTAGTAATTATTGTTCAAATGACAGGTTTAGAAGTGAACACAAAATTTGATCATAGAGTAAAACATTGCAATAAAAATGTTCTCTTTTCCTTTATCTTGCTGTGTCTGCGTTTCAATCCACTTCACCAAAGATGGTGTTAGAATCTAATTTGTTTCCTTTACCAATAAGAGATAGTTTTGTTTGTCACGACCCTCCCCTTCGATTCATACTTAATCCGAATCAATACACAAATATTTAACATAGAAAATCATACGACACAGAACAAATGTCTCAGCAAAACACCAGAAGACACAACGTTTGATAAAAGTTAATGAAACGCGTGATTGAAATGTTAAAATGTGTCGATCCCGTGAAATTTACGGTTAAACTTAAAATTTGATCGGATAAAATGTTGATAAGATTTTATGAAGCACTAACTGATTTTTGTTGATACTATTACATTTTTAATCTGAAAAGTTTGGACACCAATTAGTCCATTTCCATGCATTCAAGCTCCCCAATTGAGGGACCAAATCGACAAATATGCCCTACATTATCCAGTACATTATCTACGTTTGACCAAGAGACACGTGGCAAGAAAAGACACGGCTTGACCAGTAAGCTAAATCTGCGTATCAAAATCACACTTTACCATTGGTCCAACCTATATCACCTTATCCAATACTCAAATTTCCCTCCCATCTAATAAACAAAAAAAAAACACAACCTTTTCATCGTCAAATTTTGTTCTGGCACAAATAACAAATCCTACCAATTACACTTACCAAATTCTCTAAATCCTTCCCCATGTCTATGGCAACCCAAGCCTCCATCTTCCCCTCCACGATCTCTGCCGCAAAATCTGGTGATCGTATGTTGGTGCCGTGGAAGCAATCTTCCCTAGCATCATTCACTAGCCCTAGCTCACTAAAGATATCCACCGTTGCATACCGCCCCATTCGAGCCATGGCGGAGACACCCGCCACAAAAGAGGCAGAGAAGGAGGCTCCAGTGGGCTTCACCCCGCCAGAATTGGATCCTAACACACCATCACCAATCTTTGGTGGCAGCACGGGCGGCCTGTTGCGCAAGGCTCAGGTGGAGGAATTCTACGTCATTACATGGGACTCGCCTAAGGAACAAATTTTCGAGATGCCCACCGGTGGAGCTGCCATAATGAGGCAGGGCCCAAATCTATTGAAATTGGCTAGGAAAGAGCAGTGTTTGGCACTTGGGACTAGGCTAAGGTCCAAGTACAAGATTCAGTACCAATTTTATAGGGTGTTCCCTAATGGAGAGGTACAATATTTGCACCCGAAGGATGGTGTCTACCCGGAAAAGGTTAACGCTGGCCGCCAAGGAGTTGGCCAGAATATGCGATCCATTGGTAAAAATGCCAGCCCCATTGAGGTGAAATTCACTGGGAAGCAAGTGTATGACTTGTGAGTCGATGAGTGATTGGACCATTTGGTTGTCGGATTACTTGGGTATTTAGTGTTAATGTACTTTACAATTTCTTGTTATAAAGAAGTTCCATTGTTAACACATTGAATTTTTCTTTTAAGTTGATATATTGAGTGAACTAACTGAGCGGCAAAAAGAGTTTTAGATAGTCGATCCTTAAATTTATCGAGATTGATGTTTAGTTTATTGATTTTTTCATGGAAAATGTGGCTATGTGGAGATGATGGGGAATAAGAGAATTTATATATACATGGTAATATCGTTATAATTGGTAAGATATAATTTTGAAATGGGACTCAATTTTTTTTATTTTGAAATCGTTATAATTTAAAGTCCAGTTGTTACCAATTATGAATGGGAACAATACATAAATAAGGTATTTAAGTATCACCATTTCAAAATTAGGCCCTGTTCGGGAGTGATTAAAATCCAATTAAAATTGAAAATATAACCGTTATTGGGTCCCACCCGTCTAATA